AACTGCAGCAATGCATTTCCTCATTGGAAAGCGTGTTACACTTGTGCAAATATTCAGTAGAAATATTTGAATACATTGATTCAGAAAAGAAACATGAACTTAGTTAGAGGTTAAACTTTTAAAAAAGAAATGTCAAAAGAGCTTAAAGGAAAACCCCTTCCATTGTGGTACGAGTTGCCAAACAGCAACATTTCCAAAATATTTGTCTAAAAAAAAAATCTCTTTTATTTGTTTTAGCATGATACAATAGATGGTTAATGAAACTTTAGAGATGATACAGTATATATTTACAGACGTCATAGAAATATAAATCAAATTAGTGTATAACTTCAATAAATATTATACTTTAGAACTTACTAAAGATGAGAAACACTCCATTTTGATCAGAATTATGGGTTAATGTATCATCATTACTATGACAGGTGACCTTGCAATTATATGATCTAATTGGATATGACTACGAAACAGGAAACTTGTGTAAATATTTATATCCATCCTGTTCATCCTTGAATTTACTTCCAGAGGCTAGAACAGAGACCCAAGCACTACATTTACAACAACAATAATACATTTATTATTCAGACTAAACTGATTTCTGCAGTTGTTAGCAAACAGCTTGCATGCATAATGTTAGAAAAGCATTATCTCTGTATGCAGCAAAGTAAATTATGTGAAAAAAAATGACTTCACATTACAGCTGGCACAGAAGTATGACTCTCAGATGGAGGAGGCCCTGAGGATGTGGATCCATGAGGTCACAGGTCGAACAGTTCCTGACAACTTCATGGAGGGACTGAAGGACGGTGTGATCCTGTGCGAGTGAGTTTCAGGAATAAAAGATAGTTGATCATTTTTATTTAACCAGTTTAAAAGACTCACTTAGAAATAAAATTTAAAAAAATCTTTTACATAAGTGACTTGGTATGTTACCAAACAATGAATTAAAGGTTATTTAGAGACAATTATCACAATAAATAAATAACATGCAATAATAATTCATAATTGAGACAGATTAAATAGAAATAAAAGCCAAAAGAAAAGTGACCAAGGGTAACACAGAAAATGACACAAAAACTGGCACTCACAACATTTTTGAGCTTGGTCTCATTGCTCTTATATAGCGTTTTTGTTCACTAGGCTGATCAACAAACTGCAACCTGGATCCATTCCGAAGGTCAATTATTCAGCACTGAATTGGCACAAGGTAATGTGTATATCAGCAATGTCTGAATTTTGAGGCATCACTCGTGTCGCTCCTATTCAAATTTGTATGCATATATGTCCTAGATGTCCTATGTCCTAGATGTCATGTTTTGAAATGGAAACTATGAGCCACATTTATGCCATTTTAAGAATGCAACTGATGTTTGTTACAATACATACGTACATGTGATGGATCCTTCAGCTTTGCGGGTATGTGCTGTTTAATTTAGAGAAATGCAGAGAATGTAGATGTGTACATAATTTAGCTCTAAGCGCTGTTAGGATTAAACCACCTGTTTAAAACACTAACGCAGTCCTTTGGCACTGTCAACGTGGTTATTGATTTAAAAGTGCAAATAGTTACAGTAGTTAAAACAAACATGCTATTAAGAGTAGATTGCATAAACAAGGAATGCAACACAAAAGTCAAACTCAGCTAATGAATGGACTATTTTACCTCATTAACTCCATTCTGTTTAGAGTACTTCAAATGAGTTGACCTACAAATACTGTATTTCTGGACATGGCATAGTGGTATCTATGAGACAAGAAGAACTTTGGAGAAATATAAAGATGTATCCATTCCTAACTTTATTTTGATCTATTCCTTCAATCTCTCTGTTAGAGAACATCACTCACTTTGTTTGAGCCAATGGTGAATACGGCCTGAAACCACGTGACATCTTTGAGGCCAATGACCTTTTCGAGGACATGAACCACACCCAGGTCCAGTGTACCCTCATCACATTGGCTGGAGTGGTGAGAAACTGATAAAACGCAGCTTGAACAACCTGTGAATAGGACCAAAGACACTTTTTCTGCTATGTCTTTTTTCCATATTCTCTCTCCATGCACCCAGGCTAAGACTAAAGGCTTCTACACAAAAAGTGACATCGGTGTGAAGTATGCAGCAAAAAAGCAAAGGAAATTCAATCCTGACAAGATGAAAGCATGGAATAGCATTATCAGCCAGCAGGTCACATGACAAATAATTGACAAATGATGCCTCAATGAGAAATGTCAATGCAACAGGAAAGCAGAAAATATTTTGAATAATAGAAAAACATGACAAGCATTTATACAGAATGGAAATTAGTCTAAACGACAGAGATCAAGAGTACCTAAATTAACTACTTTGAATTACAGTTGCATTTGATTTGAAGGTAAAACACATGATCTGCCTTTTGCAGCTATGACCATTTTTTTTTTAATACTACTGTTTAAAAGTGTGAGGTCAGTATGATTTTTTAAATGTTTTTAAAAATAAGTAAATACAGTAATATCGTGAAATATTATTACAATTAAAAATAACTTTTCTATTTGAATATATTTTTAAATATTATTTATTCCTGTGATGCAAAGCTGAATTTTCAGCATCATTACTCCAGTCTTCAGTGTCACATGATCCTTCAGAAATCACTCTAATATGCTGATTTGCTGTTCAAGAAACATTTCTTATTATAATGATTTTTGATAACAGTTGTGCTGCTTCATATTTTTGTGGAAACTGTGATACATTAATTTGAAACTGAAATATTTTGTAACATTATATGTGTTTACTGTCACTTTTCATCAATTTAATGTGTCCTTGCTGAATGTGACCTTTCATCTGAATTCACAGATGGGCTCCAACAAATTTGCCAGCCAAAAGGGCATGACCTCCTATGGAACCAGACGCCGTCTCTATAATCCCAATATAGGCATGGAGAAGCATAAACCTCCAAATGGGCACTAACAAATGAGCCAGCATGGTGAGGCCACATGCTGCATTAATGCCAAAATCACTGTAATTATGAGATGACCACTCTGTTCATGTCCTCTTCCGATATTACAGATATTGTTTATTTTTATGCCAACACTCATAATAGTAAAATGGATGCATGTGTGGCTTGATTACTGATGACAGTAAAACACTTACACTGTTAATTCACCTCTATGCTACTGAAAAATACTGAAGAATTCAGAAAGCACACCGGTCAGTTCTAGAAAGTTCAAGAAAGCCCTAAAAATTCCGAAACTGTTGCAATTTTAATATATGAACTTGTCTTGGTCCTGTTGTAGGCTGGAATGTTTGCTCTTGGCACGGCGAGGCAGGTGACAGAAAAGAATGTGAATCTGGACCCAGTGGACACTACAACCGTGTCTCTGCAGATGGGAACCAACAAAGTGCCATCTCAGAGCGGCCTCACCCCAATGGGAGGCTCACGTCTAGTGTACGACCACAAATACTGCCAAGCCTAATGAACAACACGGCCCTGATTTTGTTAATTAATACACTTATACTCTGGTATAAAGTGCCATCTCAGAGCGGCCTCACCCCAATGGGAGGCTCACGTCTAGTGTACGACCACAAATACTGCGCCAAGCCTAATGAACAACACGGCCCTGATTTTGTTAATTAATACACTTACACTCTGGTATTCAGCATTGGTAGACACTGTCCCTTTATCCCAGACCAGCATAACTAAAACAAATAATCATCTTTATGTGGCCAATGTGTTATACAGTAAGTGCTTAATTAGAGAATCAATTAAGCTGGTCTCTGATCAGTTTAAAAGGGATCATCTACCACACAATAACTTCTAAACTCCAAATCGACTGGTTTACGTGCCTTATTATGGATCAGTCATAGTTTGCCTTATAACATATTAACCTCTTAAGTCTTTAAATTCCTCAAAATTTGATGTTATTGGTCTTTAGTGTCATAATATCAGAAGTTAGAAGGTGATTAAACATAAACAAAAGATCATCAGTTAGTGTCTATATGTGGGGACAACAGTAAATATGTCTACACAAAAGTAATGAAAGCATAAAATGGTTTTGTTGTCTGAAGTGGGATAGAGAGACCCTGTCCCCTACATTTGGTCCCTTGGCAGCAGTTATTAATTTATATTCTTTAGGGTCATTAAACAAAAAGAATTTTAATCCTTCACACTCAAAAATAGATGCATGTTCAGAATATACACAACTTGTGTAAATATTGAGGAAGTGATGCAATGACATTTGCACATTTTACACACTTTTAAACTTTTCAGCCTGTGCTTGCATATGTCTAGCAGCAAGAAACTAACATTTCTTGGCAGTTGCATATATTTCTTTCGTTGTTAGCCTATATATATATATATATATATACTTTTTTTGTCACAATTTCTTTATTATTACCATTTTAATTGTTGGAAAAAACATAATTTCCTTAGGTCTATTGTATTGTATTGTATTTAGGGTATCATTACAATATCTATGGTATGGCATGGTACAGTGATGGAATTGTATGGTGACTTTGATATATCAAAATACTATATAGATTACATTGGACCATGGCACCCAGGTTCTTCAAAGAATACAGTGGAATTACCATAGTACCATGTCCAAATGAATCATGTGAACATACGTTGCTCACGTTCTGTATCTAAGTTAATATAAATAATATAAAAGAGAACTTAACTGCAACAAATTTGTATGTACAACAAAGAATACATTGATTTACTTTCTTGGATGAAAAGTTTTTTTCGTTGCAATAAAAATGCAGTTTATTAAAAGCAATGCGTTAATCAAGTTAATCAAACAAATTTCTTTTAGCTTATATTTCGACCCATCCATCAAATCCTAATTTCACTCCAAATGCCCGTACTATTATGTCGCATTTAGCTTTTTAGTTTAGTACAAACACAAATCGGACATACTTGAAAGAGGTGTCTGTATTGTAAATTTGTTTTATTCGAGAAACTCTCCGGCCGATTCTAAAATGATTCATTTAGACCCGTTCTGTGAACCTCTTCAACCGATTCTTTGAACAGATCCGATTCACCATAATGATTCTTCAGAGCGTGCACGTGCTTTTAGTTGTCAACTGAGTTCGGCAGACATGTCCCAACAGGTATTATATCAAAACATTCTCACATTTTGTGCTATAAAAAGCGTCTCGTAACAAAATACGTGCCTGGATGAATGACCAATAACAAGTACAAGTTTAATTTGTTATATTACTCACTTTTCTGAAACGCTACCATGCGTCAAAGAAGTGTAAATTAAGCTTAAATTAAAACACGCTGTTGTAATACATTCTTTCATCATGTGCAAAATGATCAGTATTAATTATGCTTCATATTAGGCCTATCACACAACGCTCTGGAATGCTTGCTTCTCATTGGTCATTCACTTCAATCTGTGGTCAAGTATTTTTGTCAAATACACTATAATTGTCCCTGCATGGCGACCGATTTCCTACGTAATTGTGCTAGTTTCGTGTACCTGTAAATATAAATGTACATATAAAAATATTGTTTGTGTTGCATTATTTAGGTGAGAAGACAGCAACCATGGAGTTAGATGAGTGATTACTCAAACTAGAATGCAGTTCAGTGGTTATAATACAAAAGCATTTGATTGTAAAATGTTTCCATGGACCAATCAGAAAGAAGTATTCCTGACCTGTGTAATAGTTTGCAACATGGATCAAATTAATAACATTTATGTGGGTGGCCTTCGTCCATGCAGGACTTGTCGCCTTTGACGACAGCAATGATTTGGGAAAATGACTGGTTGTTCAACTTCAGGAATGTACAGTCTATTTATTGTTCATAAAGTGTAATATAACTCTGCTTTATTTTCTAATCCGTTCTCTCTGTGTGCTTTCTCAGATGTCATTTAAAGACCTGATGAAAGTGTTAGGGCTGGGAGCCGTAGCTTTCGTTCTGGGGGTGGAGTGGCTAAACTGGCTGACGCGGCATCTGAGAGACTCTCACGGGCCCCTGAAAGAAGTTCTGTTCTTCCCTTCACCCCAAGTCTGCGTTGAGCACCTGTTCACACGCCGTAAACGTTTCCCCTGGTAGTTGGATCAGCTTTTTCTAATCTAAATGTGCAATAATGTGCAAAATAATTCATTTCTCCACCTTTCTCTGTGCCCTCAGCGCATGTCCCCTTCCCCATGGGGTTGAGACGTCCTTCTCCAGGCTGCTCGGACATCTCCTCTCTGCACGTATGTCACTGGACCTGTGTGTGTTCTCGACGTCCTTCTCCAGGCTGCTCGGACATCTCCTCTCTGCACGTATGTCACTGGACCTGTGTGTGTTCTCCTTCTCTCACATGGAGCTGAGCAGGGCGATTCTCCTGCTGCACAAACAGGGAGTCGTTGTACGAGTGGTTACGGACAGAGACTACATGACCATCACTGGATCTCAGATCGGCACCGTCCGTAAGGCAGGTGTGTTGTCGCATAATGTGATTTCACAGGGTTGGTTAACACCAAAATGAAAATTCTGCCATTGTTAATAGTAGTGAAGATGTCAGTCATCAAACTCAAGAAAAGGACAAAAAAAACCTACCAGAAAAGTAAGATGCTATATTCCAGAAATAAAAAAAAAATCAGACAAAAAGTATAATAATATATATAGTTATAATTAAAGTATAATAAGTATGTTTAATTAAAAAAAATTATGTATATACATTAGTGCTGTCAAACGATTAATCGCGATTATGTGTGTGTACTGTGTATATTTATTGTGTGTAGATAAATAAATACACAAACAATCATACATGTATATATATTTTTTTATATATAAATTAATATATTTATATTCGTATATAATTTATATAAATATAAATAATTTATATATAAAACATATTTTTCTTAAATATATACATGCATGTGTGTGTATTTATATAAACATAATAAATATACACAGTACACACACATACAAAAACTGTGCGATTAATCATTTGACAGCACTATATATATATATATATCTCTGGGGCATTTTCTCCGAGGAGGACACAGAGGCAGTGCCTCCACAAAATATTGGATGAGAAAAAAATTTGTAGTACAAAAATAAAACAATACTCTATGGCTAAAGTATATACTGTGTGTGTGTATATATATATATATATATATATATATATAAGGAGCAAAATAATAATCTTATAGCTGTAGCGTTACTGAAGTATTAGTAATTTCCCAATATTGAAGTATTACTTAAAAAAACATAGAATGTCTATGATGTTTGTGACTTAAGACGTTATTAATCTTCATTATTATAAAATTAGTAGACTTAAAATCAAATTAAAAAAATGTAAAAATTCTAAGAATTAAAAAAAACTATTCCATCATATTTTGAGGTTTTTACTGACTCTGCAAACCTTATCATTGTATTTAGCATGGGCTTGTTCTCACAACTCTGTGGTATGCAGTATGAAACGATTCATAGTCAGAACTTGTACGACTGTTGCAGGTAGTAAAAACTGTCATGTTATTTCAGTACACACTGCTGTAACTTCTGCGAGCTGTTACACCCGCCTACTGCAGACTGTGATGATGCATTAGAGCAGACTTAAAGGATCTAGATGATTCACACATGGAGGGGTTTGACAGATGTCGAAATCGCATCTGTTGTTAATTTGCAAGCGGATTTGGAGCTAATTGATAGTTTCCAATCTGTTTTTGACCTCAATTACAGGCATCCGTGTGAGGCACGAGATGAGCGCAGCTGTTCATATGCACCATAAGTTTGCATTAGTGGACGGCAGGAAATTGATCACTGGCTCCCTCAACTGGACCCTAACCGCAGTCCAGAGCAACAAAGAAAACGTCATGGTTACGGAGGAGCTGGAGCTTGTGCGGCCCTATCAGCAGGAGTTTCAGAAGCTGTGGGAGGCCAGTGATCCAGCCAATCACAAACCTCAATGCACCAATGGGCAGCTACATTGATAGGCTTTACATTTACTTCTTTTTCTTTACAGTTTACATTACACAGTTCTACACAGAGGAGTTTATTTTATTTGTTAGATTACTTTTAGAATTCGAAAGCTAGTTTTCTTTCTTCTGATTGTTTGTCAGCCTCTTAGTGACAATTTCAGCACCTTTAGGTTTTTTCCAGTTTTGATGCAAAATGTTTGTTTTTTTTATTGTGGGCTTGAAAGATTTATTATTTAGTTCAATTTAAGTGTAACTCTAGTGTAAGTAAAAACTAGTTCAAATAAACCGATCTGCTAAAATAATACATATCTTTGCTCATAAACACCTAGTGTGCAAAGCAAGCTGAAACCTGTGAGTTTGCGTTTCATAGCCATGCCTTTGATTGCTCAATTTGTGATGGTGTGTGCCTCTTGTTTTCCTCTTTTGTGACTAGAAGATTTTAGATAAGCTTGTTTCTGTATATGCACATTAATATAATTTTTTTTTTAAGCTAAAAAATAACTGCTCTTATTTCCTTTTAATGTTGGGGTTTCCTTTTGAATAAAGTTCAAACAGTGCATTAAATAAATAGTAGATTTTTTTTAAATAAATTAGTTTTTTTTTATAAAAAGTTATTTTTATTATATTTTTATTTTAGGTTTATAGATTATATAAACTATATTTATATATATATACTGATTAACTGGTAAATATTTGTAGACATCAGCTTTAAATTCTCTTTCTTATAAAAAGGCACGGTTTAGATTCTTGCCATTGGCCAAAAAGCTTGTATAATTAAACTGTAAAACTGTCGATCTTGTTACTCTTTTGTTTTTTTGTTTTTTATCACCATTTGAAAATGCTAATGTAACTCGTTTCACAGAATGACCCGTATGTAAATAGCAGAAGATAATGCTGTGTGGCTGACAGAGGACCTGTTGATTGGTTGCTCCGTGAGTGCGGGCTGGAAGCTCGCCAGGGCCGCTGGCTGATCTGGAAACAGCCAGCGCAGTTTCAGCACAAATAAATGGTCGACAGCCAGGTCGCTGCAGTCATCAAGCGTCTGACTTTGCAACGCCCCACTTTAGGGAAGGGAATGGTCGGTTTTTAAGGCGAGTGGACCCTTTCCAGTGTGTTTTGCGGGAAAAGTGAAACTGCATCTGCGAGGACTGGATGTCCGAAACCAGCTGAGGAAAAGCGCAACATCAAGTGCATAGAATAAAATAACCACCTCTAAGAAGAGCCGGATAAGGTTAGTCACCCTGTTCTGTCTGTGCCCGACGGATACGCATTTTTCTTTAGTCGCTTACAGTGGAGAGAGTTGTAAGGAAGATGTCCATATGGAAGCACGATCAGAGCCCTTTCAGTTGCCTATTAATTTACCTTTCAACCCCAAAATTCAGCTATTGATGACATGCTCAAATGTATATTTTCTGAGTGTGTTTGACTTGCTAATGTAAGCTGATATTGTGTTTGACAGATCTGTAGATTTCACAGTTCAGGGTGTGTGCTGCTGTTTGGGTCGACCAGTATCAGATCAAATGTAACCTGTCATCTCATCTTATTCTTTGCCTGTGCAAAAGGGATCCCTTATCATTTTATTTAAAATTGCATATATAGAGTCACTGTGGCACAACCGCATTGTGTTCAATCATAGGTATAAGGTGTGTCATATCCTGGTAACTCCCTCTTCAGGTACAGGTGTTGATGTGATCAGCTCTTTCTCATATGCTTCAGCAGGATGTTAGTACTTGTTTAGTTTAAATAGTCACATGTTATTAGAGGGTTTCTTTAGTTTTTCTTAAATGAAGACTTTTCGAAGAGTCTTAATGCTGCACTTTTCCATTGAACAATATTTCACAGAGCCTATGTCTATCAGTCCCGAAAAAGGGCCATAAATCGTAATAATAATAGTAATCCGAATTACTTATGAGCTGTATTTCAAGTCTTTAAAGTCATACTATAGCTTGTGTGATGAACAGACTGGGATTTAAGTCGTTTTTCACAGAAATTTAAATAAAATTGAAATAATCAAAAATTGAAATTGAAATAAAGCTGAAATAATCAAAAACTTAAACGTACTAACTGAAATTGAAATAAAAGTACTAAAACACAAACTGATATGAATATGAATTATAGATAAATTAAAACAATTATATATTTTTAAAAAATTGATAAAAATGACTAAAACACTAACACTAAAATGAAAACAAAAATATAAAAATGAAAGCTAATTGAAAATATTAATACTAGTAGTATATAATACTAAAATAGCTTCTAAAATACAAAATAGTATCTAAAATACAAATAGAGTAATACAGTGTACACAATATTTTTTTATTTTTTTTGTGAACTCTTCCTTAAACTATTCTCATAATGTGCTTCACACTTTTTAAGTACTGTTGGTAACACTTTACTTGAAGGGGTGTGCATAAAACTGACATGACACCTTCATAATCATGACATGACACATGTCATGAATATGGAGGAGGTTTTATGCATGTTTATGACAACTGTCATTAAGTGTCATTCGCTCAGTTATGTCATTTTTAATGCAAATATGACATTATTTGACCTAACCCTAACCCTACCCCTACCCTTACCCCTAACCATAGCCCATAACAAAGACATCTCAAACAATGTCATCTTTGCATTCAAAATTACATAACTGAGTGAATGACACTTAAAGACACAAACATGCATAAAAAACCTTCATATTCATGACATGTGTCATGACATCAATCAAGGGAAGGTCCTCACTCAGCATGTCTGATGTACAAAGAAAGAAAGATAGCTAGATGATAGTGCTGGAAGAATACTTAAACTACATATGAGTGATCAAGTGTATCAACAGGGCTTCAGCTAAATGGGCAAAAAAAGCCATAGCATCCTCAGGGCCTGACATATGATGGTGTTTTCTTCTGTCTGACAACCTTCATTATTTACTTTCATTGTAAATGGTGACTATATGATTGTCTGTCTTATATTTCCACTTTTCCTCCACCCCTCTAGATGGCGTCGGCCAATGATACCCGTCATCAGACGCAGGTGCAGAAAGATGTAGCCGATCAGAATTTTGACTACATGTTCAAGCTCCTCATCATTGGTAACAGCAGCGTTGGAAAAACTAGTTTTCTGTTCCGTTACGCTGACGACTCCTTCACCTCTGCGTTCGTCAGCACGGTCGGCATCGACTTCAAAGTCAAAACTGTTTACCGCAATGAGAAACGAGTTAAACTGCAAATATGGGTGAGTTTGAAAAATGGGACATCGGAGTCATTTATATAGTGAAAATGAGGAGGGTGAGTAGAATTTATACAAATATTTGTTCATTCAAGGTCTAGACTAATTTTATTGGTGTTTTGCAGAGAACAGTGTGCCATATTTTAAATTTATTTATTTTTTGATGGTATATTATTGTGGTGTCAACTAAATTTTCAGGTTTACCTGCCCTTAAATGGCACATAAAAACAGAACAACCTCTGGTTGGATGTTTTAGATATCAATCAGACAGTCTTTTCCTGTCCAAAGGCCTATTCACACCAAGGACGATAACTATAACGACAAATATTTTTACTTTTAAAAATCATTCTAAATTTAGAGTCCACACCACAATTATAGTGATAACGATACAGAGGAACAATATCTTTGGAATCACTTTCAGAAGGATTTTTATTTCTAGCAAATGAATGACAAAACAATGACAGCCAATCAGAATTCAGATTTCGATGGAGCGGACCCACGAAGGAGGAGAAAAACATGGAAAAATCGCAATTGGGCTGGTTTTGTTTTGCAGACCTGGCAACCCTGGTGGACGGGCCTTAACTTTCCATTCATTTTTCCCATAGGGTTTCTTTAAAGAGTTATAAACCAAACCAGCCAGCTACAAGGTGAATCACAACATTTGAAACTTTGATTTGAAGCAAAAAGTATTTTAAAATCAGACAAAAGTACAAGACTGTGTACTTAATGGCTTTGAGGGAAAGAAATGCAATCCCATGAAGCATTACGAGTGACATCGAATTAAAAAAAAACTCTGTTAAACACAATTATTTAAAAATAGGTTGAAATAATGCAGGCTGATGGCGTTAATAGGTCTATCTAGGTCAGGTAGGTCTATCTTAAAAGGTTTTAAAGTTAAAATCAATTCCCCTATGGAGAAAATGAATGGGATTTTTACTTCTGGAACTCGACTGCTGCACTATATGAGACATTTGGTGCAATGCTTTTGGTTCCCAGAGCTAAAATGCATTTGGTGTCAGTTTGCAGTTCAGTGTGCAGTTACTTTGAATAAGTCTGTTATTATGTTTTTATTCTGTTAATCTGTAGTTATTCATATTTCACAGTTTAAGCCAAAAAAAAAATATATGTGTCATTGCCAAAGTCTAGTGTTGTGAAAAGAGGATCTGCCAATCGTATGTCAGCATGATTAGTGATATCTTGGTCAAGATAATCTAGGTGAGGTGTGTGCCAGCAATGATGGTTAATGTTACAAAACATCCAGAATTACCCAAAGCAGATGGCCCCATCATTTGATGCATTATGTGTGGAGCGCGCACACACACACAGGGCCAAATCCATTTTGAGGGAACCTTTAGAAAACGAAAGCCATAAAATCAAATTAGTTGTGCTTTTTGACCGTCCAGACCAGCATGCATCTGCCTTCTGCTCTAAATCACTAATTGACTCAATACCAAGACAGGAAGTGGGTCAGAATATCAACTACCCACTGCCCAGTCCTGCCAAGAAATTATTTATGATCCAGTTATAGTCCAGAGTCAAGTTATAGTCCTACAGTTACATTCTGTAAATTCTGACGCTGTAATTTTAGTTGTTATTGTTGTGCGCCAGTTCGCAGCCGCAGACTTCCTCGACAGAGGAAGCGACAGCACTTTCTGTTGATAAAAGGAAGTGGGTGAGAACGCCTCAGAGGTGATGAGTAGCATTTTCCCAGAATGCACTTGTGTGCCCACCATAGAACAACTCCGCTCTGCCTGCAGTGGTCTAAGATTGACGAGAATAGAGCTTTTAAAATTAGATTTTTACATACAAAACTAGTTTTGTTTGGCACCAGGACAGTGGTTGCTATGATATTTGGGATGTTTTTGGCACATTGTAATGTGGTTGCTAGGGTGTTCTAGGCAGTTGCTAGGGGGTTGTTTGATGGCCCAAGTCAATAGAGTCCACCATCAATCTATAAGATATTCAGCTTTCTTGAGTATTTGTTATTATTATTTTTTCATCCACGAAGTGAAAATTGTATGTTAGATTGATTAGTAAAGCTGCAGAAAAATGGCATCATGTCAAGTCTGATGGCTGCTGATGGCACAGTCCCAATTGCAGTGGCGGCTCGTC